GTTTATCGGTTTCTCGACCACTCGGCACTTTCCCCTCGAAACTGCTGTTTCCCGTTCAACGATGTAAAAAAAAAAAAAATAAGAACCGTGATATAGAGTCTGGTGGACCCTTCCAGCGAACGAAATTTCTTTTTATCGCGTAGCCTGCGAACGACACGTTAAAAATGATTTTGAATTATTCTGCGCTACGATCATTCAGCGAGTCGTTCCAAACCAGTGGTTCGTAACTACGAAATAGTGGATAGGCATCCGGAAACTTTATTTATTAATATAAAAGTCGGAATCTACGTAAGATTAGAAAAATTACCACAAAATTAAAATTCGAATACCGATACATCTATCGAAAGTAACACAATTTAACAAATATTAATACACAGATATATTTCCTAGAAACTTTCAAGAGCACAAAATTTATTGAACAAATTTAGCGTAGCGGCAATTAAAAAATATCGATTTTGCTAAAATTTAAAAACGTTGTTTCGAGAAAAAGGACCCACGAGGGCTGTAAAAACGAAAAGTTAAGAGCCACTGTTTCCAACGGTCCGAGCATTAAATTCTGCCGTTTCCTTTTACGTAACGTTGCTCGAAATATTTATGTCGTTCGTATTTTTTTTTTTTTTTGTTTTTTTTTTGTTTATTTTCCCTAACGTTCTTTTGTCGCTCGAAACGTAGAAGTAGTAGTAAATCAAGCGCGGACGGTCTCCGTTTTTTGCTTTTATTTTATTCGTACGGCATCGACCGTGTAACTGAATTCACTTCATGTAATTTCATTAATATTGACTTTATCGAAAATTATTGTGCGCGAAAATGTTACAATTCGCGGACAACGCGTAACGAAGAACGCGCGTTCCCGTTTATTTTCCATTGCTGTTAATATTTTTTGTCTTTTTTGTTCGTAATTTTATTAAAAATAAAATCATTAAAGGAAAAATACAAACTTTTTTAAGACCGGTTCGATCGGTATTTTTAAATTAAAAATCTGCTTTCTCACTAGAGACCAATTTAATCGAACCGAAGATGAAACCTACGAATAGCTCTGATCGAACCTTTGCGCCGGAAATGCAATTAAAACAGGAAAATTACGCGTACCTCTGTGAACAAGAAATTGATGAGGAAAGCAATATTATTTGCGGGTTTAGACTGACGAAACGTATAGCTGAGCTTTTAAAAAACTAATTGTAACAAATAATAATTCTCGAAGCTGTTTAATTTTTGTTTATACTACTGTTTTACGCGATGGATAATTCACGAGTAATTTGCATTTATAGATTAAAATCCCCCGACGTTCTTAACTTCGATCATTGTACAAGAAAACTGTACTTTAAAACTTGTTTCTTCTCTCAAAACCACTTCGCAGTAGCTATAACGATCTGCAAGGCGAGACTGTGAAGTTTGTATTTGCTTGGAGGCCACTTCAAACTTTATTTTATTTATCGTTTAAGTTTGAGGGATCGCGAATTGGCAATAAAGCGCTCGCAAATCTGTGTTAGAGCGCAACATTTGCCTGTTCCTCGTTTCCAAAATTGCAATTTTTAAAACGGTCCAATATTTACGTTGGCTCATTTTCAATATTGTTCAACAAAATTTTAACTAGCCAACTCCCTTAAGACTCATTAAATGTTCCAAGACCCTTCAAAACTTTGAGACCGATTAAAACCAACAGAGACCTACCAGAACATTCGAAAACTTTTGCTATCGTATAATGTTCGAAACAATTTGTAACCTCGTAGTCTCGAATACTTCTAATTTTTTTAAAGACACCATCCATGCGTGTACATCAATTTTAATATCGCTATTTCCACTTATAATTTTTGAATTTATCATCCCCCACTCTTCCAACGTCCACCCCCCTTTGGAACAGAATCGTAGGTCCCCGTTTTGTCGCTGGAAAACGAAAATTACTGTATTTCGCCTCGAAAGCATTCGTTTCGTAATTTGCCTGCATAAATTTCTGCGTGTTGTCGGATCTGGTCGAGTTTGAAAGTGGAACAATGGCCTCAAGTTACAGAAGTCCTGCAAGTCATTCCGTCGAGGTCCGACCGGAGGTCTGTAATCTCGAAAGTTTCCTCGCGTTTGATAGCGCGCGCTCGCGGAGTAAAAGGACTGGTTAATGAAACACAAAATAATTAGACCTAGCAACTTCCATCGCGCGCACCAATGCCTGTATTTCGACTACGTTGCTCCAGATCCTCTTCCACGGTCATTTCACGACCTTTAACCCTTTTACTCGCAAGAAGTTTCACGACTGTTTACCAAAATTGACTTACAATCAAGATACATTGCGTCGGATCAATAACTTGCCAGGTTTTTCATGAAAATTGAAACCAAACACTCGTCGTCTGTTCCCGGAAATAGTCCTTCGAGGACTCTTCTTTCGTCGTGTGTATTTTAACAAATACGACCATTGGTTGCATAAACTACGTAACGCCAGAAATTCGTTCGGAAATAACTGACTCGATCAAATTGTATCAATAATTCTGTTTACCAACCTAGTCAAGTGACGCTTGATATTATTATCGAATAAATAAAGGAGTGTTAACGCGTGGTGTAATCAATTTCGTTCGCCCAAATTGCTGCGAAATTAAGCGCGTTTCATTTTATTATTGCCGGACATGGAAATATTTTAGAAAACAAATATATTCGTCGACCCAGAATTTATGCAAACAATTTAAGAAAAAATCCTGAACGAACGCGTAAAGAATACATTTTTAAATTTTATGTGTCACGTTGAATAAAAATCAAACTATTTTACGCAAACTTTTTCGAGCATATAGTTTCGTTGCAATAAGTGTCGAAAAAAAACCATGAATATTTTATATCCCCGACCCGGTGTAACCCCTTAAGGCGATTAAGATCGGCCCGTTGAACGCGTAACGATGGAAGGGGTTGGATAAATAATTAAAAAATTAATGGGTAAATCGATATCTGTTCATCGCGGACCGCCTTCGACGTCGTTTCTCCGCGATACTGTTGCAAAAATAACGATCGGAATCGGCGGGCATCGTTCGGATATCCGAACGGATGGATTCATGATACGGACACTTATTACTAGATTGCAGATTTTATGCATTTATGGCGTATGCAAATGTGGCAAACATATGCAAAACGTATGCAGAACATACAGTGCTGGCCAAAAGTATCAGACCCAGCTTTATTCGATATCGTTCTTCAGGGAAATATTTGTAAAAAAAGGATAGTATAGTTTTTTGAAACGTTTCGGTCGATAGATTTGGTTTATGGGCACGGTAGTTCCTATATCAAGGCGGGATGTTGTTGAAAATAAATATGGTTACGATTCATGAAATTTCTACGAGGTTGCAAAATTTTTAAATTTCGAATCGTACAGTTTTACACGCGTCGGTGAATAAATATTTGCCGTCGTAAAAAAATTCGCGAGTATTAATCCGTCAGTCAGCGGGATGGGGTGTAATTTGTCACCGGCAGTTTAGCAGTTTGACACCCTAATCTCTCTCTTTCAGAGACCGGGACTAAAAAATCGGCCAAAGAATCGCCGCCCTTATTCTATCGCCTTCAAAGAAAAATTTATATCTGTGTTCTGTATTATTCGTTTCGGGGGAGCGATATATCATTGCGTGTCATTGTGTGTAAAAAATACTGTTGAACGTATATCAATCCTCGGGGATGATTTAACACGAAGCGAACTTACAATATATCGTGCACATTCTTTCGTTTTTTGTTTAAAGAAAATATTTATTTGATATTTTAGTTCGTACAAGAAATATGGGAAAGTGTTAGAGTATCGAATGAACATTAATTCTTCCCAAGAAAATTTTGAAATCTTCGCAAAGGGAGCAAAACTTTCAAGAAGTGTTTAAAAGAAAGTTCTTCCTGAAAATGATCCTAGGCCCCGTGGAAGGCACCATAATACAAATAACGAGATTATAGTCAAGCACGTGAGTAGGAAGAATCTCATTTTAACCTCGTATTTAACTTTGTCTAATCTAATTTTTGAAACTGCATAGCCGGAATAATGTTCCGCTTCGGAATCTCGTATTCTCACATTATCTTAATCTTGTAGAAGTACATTCGTTAAAACGAGTTAACACGTTCTCTACCACCATTCGGTAGGGAAGACTATGCTAAACTTGCCGGTAATTTCATTTTATACAGTTAACCTTCTATAGATTACACTATCTCTTCCTGTTATCAATAGATATTGTGGTTTTTAAATAGCAATATAGCCTATAAAAATCAGTATGCAACAATTATAGAGTACACTTAAAAATACCTATTGAAATTCATCTTTCAATTTGTCTCTGTTGTCAGTATTCATCGTATAGTTTTCCCCAGGAATCAAAGCTTGCGTTGTAGAGGGTTAAGGGTTAGTAGGTTCTAACTATCGTTACTGTTACACTTACCATAAAGAATTCTCATTTTTTATCTTTTTATTTAAATCGGTTGGAATGGCTAGATTCGACACAGAATCCGGATCCTCCCAGCGACGCATAATCAGCGTAGCCCTTTTCCCGTGGTCGGTCTGCCGCAAGATTGTACGCGTCCTGTGTCACGAGCACTTAGCTTCCTCGAGCGACAACGAGATTAATCTCGCTCGAGGGTTCGACCGAGGCTCTCCTCCCCATCCCTACGTCCCAACCCCCCGGTGGCGGGAAACTTCGTCTTACTCCGCGTCCAATCACGTCTCGCTTTTTCTTCGAACAAGCTGCTTCCTGAATTCCAAAGGCTGACCCCGAAGAATCGACGACGTCGGCTCGTCCTTCGTGGCTCGTATATATTCGCGACGAGTATCCGATCGCGATAACGCCTACGAAACGGCCGGTCCCGTCGTTCCGCGCCGCGGGGAAAACTTTCGCCCCGACGACGAAATTATTTTCTGGAGACGCTTCCGATACGACGTCGAGTCGAACTTGGAACACGAACGCGACACGGAAATTCACGCGTCGAAATGTGTTATAGCAAGACGCAGAGATGTTCGGTTCGTTAGTCGTTGCAAATTGAATTACGATAAATCCTTACGTCCATGACTACTGTAACTATTTATTACATCATTAGACTTCTATATTTTTGATCGATACGACTATTCGACGATAGTTTTAGAGTTTGTTGGGACTCATAGTACAGCCTGCCATGTTGAATGGAGATATAACAGTGTCATGAATCATTATACGTGCCATGAACGTATTAATTTATCGTGCGTTTTAATGAACCGATAGAGGTTATATAATGTTTGTTAATACACCTATTCGACGATAATTGTGAAGTTTCTGGAGATTATTGTTCGATCTATCCCACGATGCAATTGTCATGCGACCATTGTACGACGCACGATTTATTGTAGAATTAATTGTTGCATCCATGATCCCTGTAATTGTCAATAGGCGTTCCGGAACAGCTCCATTCCGAGTAATCTAATATTGAGGCTCTGGGAACTCTAATTAGTAATTTTTTATTCATCAACAATTAATCAACGACACTCAACAGATCGATAAAATTATTTAAAGACTTCAAAAATATATCATTTCGTTCGATACGATGATTCTAAGGCGGCTGAGTTGTTCGGTGCAACGCAGCCATACTATCGTCACAACTCGACGTACGACTCCTATAACGATTTGTAAACTGTACAGTTCACTCTAATAATTTTTTATTCATCAACGATATTCGGTAGATCGATAAGACTAATTAATACGACGACAGTCGAGGGTTTCGGTGCAACGCGGCGGCCATATTCTTTACGTTCGCGTCCCTTGTAACTATTCGTAAGTTTTGGTCGATACGCTCGTCCGACGATAACTGTAAAACGCGAATGTTCCGTCACGCTGGATGGCAGCAACACAACCATCGTGCGTTATATCGTGCGATAAATCGTTACGACTATGGCCGGCAGTCGGAACGATTCGATACAGCGGTATCGTTGTCAAACGTAAAACGTATCGATGGTATCGACGGTTCGTCTCGATTCAACGCGATTTCTTATGCAGTTCGTCGAGGGCAAACAACGCGACGCGTTCGCGAACGAGAACGGATCGCCAGCATCTGCGATCCGATCGATCCCCGGAAACTTTCCCAACGAAGTTTCGCGATTTTCGAAGTCCGCGACGCGCGTCCTTTCTTCGGGAGCGGCAAGTTCGTTAGGAGAAGTTCCGCGCGGAAGAAAGACCCCCGACCGAGACGGAGAAATTCTCGCGACCACTTCGATGCACTTTCGAGTCCTTGCGCCGAACGAATTCGCGTCCACGTCGAAGAGGAAATGATCCAACTAGTTCCTTAACCTTTGCCCGAGTCGCTCGAAACTGTATTTCCTTTCGTATCGATAATGACTAGTGGATTTCATGCATTCACCGCGTATACGTGTTGTTCTTTCTGTTGAAATTCATAATTAAATATTGTTGAGTCGAGTCTAACGGTTGTACCATTTTGAGGACATACATCATTTTTTGAAACAGAGTAGAATGTACCATAAATGCATAAAATTCCATCGTCTAAGGACAATATCATCGAGCACAGGGAAGAGTCCACCGTCGACAATAGCTAACGTACCAAACGCACCAGGTTCTATCGTTTAAGTACTCGTTAGAATATCGCGCCGGAAGCGATCAAATGAGTCTGTCGTTCGCGTAAGGGTCGACGATCACCGAGCCGTTTTGCGCAGCTTCGATCTCCCTTTTGGCGACACCCAGGCTCTTGTTCCTCCTGCGTGGCGGTGTGGGAACGATCCCCGGGCCCTCGAACAGCTCGTCCATAGTTCTGTGCAGCCTGCTCGGTTTCTCGGGCGGAGTATCCGCGGGACGCGCGACGTGCTGACCCGACGGAACCCACCCACGGTCGTCGTTCAGACGAGAAACGACGTTCTTATCTAAATCCGTCGGACGTTCAGTGAATTCCCGATCGTTCGGGGTCTCCGTTTCGGCCGCCGTCTCCTCCCAGGCGCAGAACGAGACCTTCCTGCCGGTAATCGGCTTCCTGTCCTCCAGAATCTGCCCCAGAGACACGGGAACCTGGTTCTTCTCGGACTCCTGACGGATTGGAATCTGATCGGCCGTTCTCTCTGCAGCCTCGCCGGATCGATTAATCTCGTCGCTCTTCAAACAACCGAGATTCCGCCCGATGGGCACGATCTCCGGGTTCGGGAGGCTCCCAGGGATCAGCTCGTTGCTCCCGTTCCTCCTGCCGTCGTCCTTCGCGGCTTCCTGCGCCTCCTCCTTCTCCAACATGTCCGACAACGCCACCTCCAGCTCCGTCAGGCTAGGCGTCATCGAGCTCAGATTGCTCTCCTCGGCCGCTTCCTCTTTAAGGACCTTCAGCAGCGTCGAATGGTCGCCGTCCACCAGCTCGTTTCCGATCCTGGGCTCCGGACTGGGCGGCGGCGTGCTCGTCTGCCGATCGTCCAGGCTCTTCTTCAGCTTGTTGTGCACGTCCTTGGCCAGCTTCTCGTCGAAGAAGTCGTCCAGGTCCTGCTGCTCGAGCATCTCGCGCGGCAACGACTCCTCGGATATCGTCCTGATCAGGCTGACCGGACGACGGTCGCTCGTCAGTTCCTTCGACTCGTACGCGTCCTCCTCCGGCTCGCTCTCGTTCGACAGGCTCCGACCAAAGATCATCCTCGATTGGTCCGATCGATCGGACTCCCCCGCGCCGCAGGACCCTCCGATCGTATCTGGCAAATGGAACGTCCGCGGTTTAACTAGTCACGTGCGCGGATAGTTGGGGTCCTTTCTGCTCCGAGGAGACGATTACCCGGCGCGGAAACCGAGACCCGAAACTCGGTTCGTCTGCGAACGATCCCAGACCGACGGACCACGTATCTAGAAGCCATATCGCGGCGACCGGATTGGCTAATTTCACTCATCGTTCCGGTTTAACCCCTCGACCAGGGCCAGGGGTTGTTTGAACCTTTTATAGATACTCGAAATTTAGTTTATGAAAACTAGGAACTCCTCCGAAGGTTGGAAAAGCAAAGATTAGAATTTTTAGAGGTATTTGAAACTTGTTTAAATAGAAAAATTCAACAAGTAAGCCTAGTTCCGAGCGGTTGGCGATTTATGAAGGGATGCAAGGGTGTTCCTGTTGTGTTATCGGAAGGGTGTTTTTTCAAGACCCGATCTTAATGGAGAGCGAGGGGCCACCTTGGAGCTTTCGGGGGCTCTATTTACCTAAAGCTGAACGATGTTTCGCCTCGTCCAGGAAAAATGGCTCTTTGGTTGCGACCGTGTCTCGGTTGGCCGAAATTCTACAACTGTCCGGCATCGTTGGTGGATCGAAGTACCTCGAGTGAGACCTACGGAAACAGTCGGGGGATGGAAACGTGTAGTCTTTCTCGATGGACTTCCGTAAGCCTTTTCTTCCTACCGAAGTAGGCAATTCTACCGGTACCTAATCTAACGTTATTTATTTTTATTTCTGTCGTTAGTGTTTTCTATTTACGTAACTGCTGGCTAATGTTTTCGTGAAATTCTCTTTTTGGTCATCGTGGTTGTGAGATCATTAGGTAATTTGTCTTTTAATAATAGTATAATGGGTTTGATATTTCGAAAAATTCGTATTTAATCGGTTCGTTGAAGGCAGAATTTAAACTTGACGATTAACTTTTAGAATGGAACAGTTGGCTTATTATGTCGTGGATTTAATTTTTTCATAAACTCACGGTTAAATTTTAGAAAAATAAAAAGGAATAAAGGATACATCGTCCCGGGGACAATAGGGTCGCCGTGCGACACGGATTCGGGTATTACGAGATCAAAGGCGAAGGAAAAATCTGGGACACCGGGATGAAAAATCCACGCAGGGGTCCGGTTAGGGGAAGTTAAACCTCAGAATATGGGCTTACACCACTTGGCATCCGAACGCCCCAATTAAATCCAGTTAATCGCTCGAACACCGACCAGGGATAATCTCTACCGACCTATTTGGATCCACTTCGGAATATTCCGCCTCGTCGGTCACGGGGGACGGTGTTTTTCCAAAAGCCTCTGGCTTCTGCAAGTACCTCGGGGAGCCTGCGACGTCTCGATCGACCGGAGACCTTCTTTCGCTATCTCGACCAGTCGCAAAATCGACGACGTCCTCGTCCTCGCAAGAACGCTTACCTTCGTTCTTCCTCGCAGCGTCCTGAAAAATGGCAAAGTTCGATTCGTCGCGTCCACTATTGCGAACAACGAATCTTTCAGTGTCTCCGACTCCAATCTATCCGATTCTTTATTCGCGTTTCTTCGTTTTTTAACGTCGTCAGAATGTCTTAAATTTGCATTCAGATCATGACTGTACTCTGACATTAAACATTCTCGAATAGTACAGCCGATCTAAATGAGATTTTCCTTGCATCAATTAACGTATTAACACGTTTGTTTCTTTTGTTAAATTAGCCCTAGAAACGTCGAAAGATCCGCTCCACGCGAGCATATTTCTACAAACAGCAAAGGGACATCGATCGGTAGAGACTTCACCTCGAACGAGAGCCGCCGCTGGTGATTCAATTCGCAATCACCGATGCCGTCGAGATCCCAATCCTCCGATTTACTCGGGTCGTACTTTACGAAACCGGTGTCCACGACCCCGTTCTCCCCGCTATCCAGCTTCTCCAGGACCTGATACGACGATAGGTTATCGGGGCTGCCGCTCCTCGATACGTAGTCCTCCAGTCGCACGCTCGTTTTCTGTGGATTAGAACATATTCCTGACGAATTAACCCACCGGGAACATTTTCCTAGCCAATTATTTCGGGTCCAAGCAACGGAATTCTACTCCCACCGAGTCACCTTTAGTTTCTGATAACTTCTTGATAACGTTTCTCTTCGAACGAGCAAAACTTCCTTTTCAAACTTGTCATATTTCATCCAGAATTCGTTACAGACTGAACTTAGTAATTCTGAGCAGCGAAATAAAATATAGTATACGTGGAAGCCATTTTGGTCGCGAAATAAATTGATAATATAATTTTCGAAACCGAATCCGTACTAATTTTGTACCAGCGATGAGTAAGAAGAAGAAAGGATAATAATTTTGTTACAACCAACCGTTTCTCTCGCCCGGAGGATCCTTGAATACGAAAAACGAAATAAACGCTGAATATTTAGCGTCGAGCAAGAGCCACGTTGAATTGTTTATCTCGCGTAGTATGAGTCACTGTCGAGAAACTGGTTTTCTCATTGGAGTAGATAAACCTCCAGTTATGTTAAGTGGAATGGTTTGACCAGTCCTAGATTGGCAACGGACGACTCGCAGCAAGAAAGGAATACATCTTTCACGGCGCGATTTTTCCGAACCGCGAGTCGAGATAATTCTGGTTTGCTCGTTAATGATCGTTTCGTTCGTCGGAGCAAAGAATAATTGTACACGGTGCGCCCACTCGATTTACTTTTTGTCGCGTTGCATCGTTGAACCCGACTGCACTTCGTCGGTTAACCGTGATGCATCGCATCGAACAGCCAATTGGGTCCCCTGATCGATAATGTCCCACTTTTTAGGGAACTAGAAATTAATTATCTCGAAACCAGAGCCTCGAACGAAAAGATGTTATTGCTTCTCATCGAGAGTTTTAGAGTCGAACGGTCCGAATTTATTTCCCGTCCCGTGCAACAAGGAATAAAAGAAAGATGAGCGAGATACAGCGTTCCATCCGTCAAAGGGATCCTGCGGGAGATGTCCCCGAAATACCAGATAAGTTGCGTACCTCTGAAAATGGCGCGAGGAAGGATTCAGCCGGAAGCGATCCGGTGCTGCTCCTGACGGGTCTCCTGGACTTTGTTCTGTCCCTGTCGTCCCCGTGGCCCTTCGTCCCTTCCCCTTGATGCCTGGCCACGTCCAACTCGTCGTAATTCGGCAGACTGACGGTGCTGTACTTGCTCCTCGCGTTGCCACTCCATTTCTCCGGAACCCCTAAGGTATCCTTCATCTGTTTCTCCGGCTCCCTCGGTCCCCTTTTGTCCTCGCGATTAGGAGTCGACGAGTCCTTGCTGGTCCTGTTCCTCGCGAATCTCTCGTACTCCTCACCCTCGTGCGCCTTTCGCTGATAGTGACTAGTCTCCGTGGTCCTGCCAGGCTTCCTGCCGGACACCACGTCGCTCGATATTATCCTTCCGGTACCATTCACCTGTTCACGACCACAAAAATAGTCAATTTCGGACAGAAAAAAAACACCAGCCCTAACGAACACCGCGCGCCCTATTAGTAAATATCTTTTAATGTCTATTTGTTTCACAGATTCGCACCCCCCGTCGCGCTCTGTTTGCCCAAACGCGATGCGTATTCGCGCGAGGGTAAATATTCGCGCGAATATCGAATTCGAATCTACAATGGAAATCGTCCGTTTTCGCGCTCCCACCCCCCGGGTACTCGCCTTGTGTTCATAAATCTCCTTCGTCTTTCTTCCCGCGTCTTCGCGCTCCTCGTGTCCGGTCTCCTCCTCCGGGTCCTGCTCGTCCCCGCTGCTTCTAGGCGACTGCACCGACGAGTATAACGGCTCGTCCGTCGCCTCGGCGTGCTTCGAATTGCTCGCCGAGTTCTCGGTTACTTCGTCCGGTTTCGGCGGCAAGGGCCTGCCCTTGTTCCTTTTTCGCCGTCTCGGGGGCGGGATCGGCGTCGTGTCCTTCAGATTCGAGCCTAAAGGACGACAAAAAGTTTGCAACATTTTTCGTGCAACTAAAACCATTCGATGATTCAAAGTTGAAGTTTTAGGTTCTTTGAAACCGTGTCAAAATTGTGCATCGAGAGGGTGGTTGTAAAAGGGAGGTTTCTTTCATTAGCGAAAGAATCTTTGAGCTACTCAAACTGGAGGTCTCAGCCTTTAAGATGGAGAAATTTGTTGCAAGACTGCCTTTCACGAAGTTAGAATACTGTCCTGATACAGGGAGGTATATTAATTATTGCCCTCCATGAGATAGTCATCGGTTCCCTAGTATAGAGTCAACGAGATTATGCACAGATGTAGTATTTCAGGGTTAATTCTTGCCCTGTACGAGATAGTTATCAGCCAAGATGTCTATCCACAGGAAGAGGGGATCTTTGATGCCGAAGCTAATGACTTTCTCCTAAAGAGCAAGAATTACCCTAAAATACTACCTCTGTACCTGTCCTCGACATCCGTTCAAATTGCAGCGTGAAAAATAGAAATATTACTATTAAATTCAACATTTTATATCATCGTTCACCAATGTTCTGAGGAACGAATAAAAATTTTGAGAATGATCCTTTTGTTCTTCGCACCAAAGGGTTGCTTGTTATTTACAAAACGTGGACTAATTCCCGCGAGCATCCCTGCGTCAGGACGCGCACGGTGTACCGTCCTTATCGGTCAGAATGTCGGAACGAGCATGTTCTCGTTAAGGATACAGCTTGCAATATGAGCTAACGATAAATTGTGAGCTTACAGCTGGACGTCGGGGTGGTGGCGGGATAGAGGCTCGTGTCGACGGTTAAATTCGTGAGAACCGAGCTCGGCCTCGGTGTACTTGGCACTTCGAGGTTCACGTCGACCCACTCGCTCGGATGAAAAGGCCTGTCCACGGAATCTATGCTCCTTCCTCTCGTGAGCACCTCCCTGGGCGGCGAACCAGCGTACCCTATCTCCGAGCTTCAAATAAATCGAAACAACGTTAATATAAATGTATCTCCATCTCTGTCTGGACCACCCAACGCGTGATATTATTCTACCACACTGACTTGGTGGAGAAATCATATGAACAAAACACGGTCGTGTTCGTTGCATTCGTAAATTTAACTTGAAAACATGCACACCGCGCGGAGTAATAAAATTCTTGTTGAAAAGAAGGGTCGTAGGGAACGCTTGTAAAATGTGCCATAACTCGTTCGCGGTTGCTTTTACAACTACATAGTGCATAACAAGAATCGTTGGAAATTAAATTCTATAACTTCTTTGTTATGTATGTATTTTGCGTACGATCGATAATAATCGAGATATCGATTTTTGGAAATTAGAAGTCCTAACAAGCTGTATGCGATATACAGAAACGCGTCACCTAACCCAACGAGCTTAAATTGCTCGTAAACCGTTCCACGAAAACATGTTTCGAGCAAAAGTTGCGCGATATTCAGAGGGTGTATGTAACATAGTAATCAGTTTCTTGCTATCTTGCTTTTTCCATCCCAGATGTAAAGCTGAACCTCGGCATTTTAAACGGAACAACTTTGCATACGAATACCTCCGCAACTATTAACTTCTGGCCTCATATACCTTAATGCTTTTTTTCTTGGCGCGTGGGACTCTTTCGAATTCCATAGCGAAACATTGTAATTTATATTTAAACAGGAAGCGTCCTCCGTAATTCAATGTAAAAAAGAAAACACCGGCAAAAACTGCATATTACATGACCCTATTAATACCGTGCAACCGTTTGTTTGGAATACATTTTCGTAGAACAGAGACATCCTTAAACGACCCTCGCGATAAATGTCTTAATTCCAAAACCAGGTCGTTCGATAAACGTTGGATAAAAAAAGGGAAAAATAATTCGTAATTCTCCAGATTCTTTCGTTTCATTTTCCATCCGGTCGCTAGGATTTTGCAAAATGCAAACACGATGCAATTTTCTCGTGCGTTTCGTTATGCCACCGGGCCATTTACGGCCCCGTTCCGGTTCCGACCCGATTCTGGGCGCATTTTCCGTATTTCGAAAATTTTAGCTTGACCCGCCGAAATTATTTGGCATCGCTACAATGCAGCTCTATTATACGGTTACTCGCAAATGCATGCCGTGTTTCTTCGTGTCCCCGGAGCCATAACTCTTCGGGGACGCGGAACGTTGCTGGAATTTCTCTCCCCCCGTCGCTACAGTCTCCTCCTTTTATACGAAAGTTCCTTTTAACTTCTTGCAGAACGGTCTGACGCACGCGAACGATTCGAGAATATCGACGAAAATCGTGGAATTCCGTCGATTAACGTTTTTAGCCGTTCGAGCCCCGTATCCGCGGAATTCTTTCCGTTTCGACGACTGGATAACGTCACGACAAGGATCCTCGAAACAAAAACACTGTCGAATTCCTTGTATTTCTATCCTCCGCTTTCCGTCCGCCTGCATTCGCTTTTATACAGACAAATAAATTTATTTCCGCCGCCCGTCGAGAGATTAAAACGATGCTTCTATTGAAACCGTTGTCAAAGATATTAAAATATAGATATTGTTATTCCGTAAGGTTTCTATAAATAAACTTGCAACTTTGTGTTTTTGGACGACCTCTGCCTCGTTCGGATTACAGATTTTTAAAGTCTACGTACACGTGTTATTCGATTATCGATAGTTGGCTGAACATACATCGAAAGTCGAACACGCAACTTAAGTTTATGGCAGCTCGAACATGGCGTATCTTGCAAAAAGCAGCCCCCGTTGATATCGGATTCTCCGGAAATGAGATACGCGATTATCGCGCATACATTTCACGCGATAATCATAAAACTATTGTTTCGAGCGCCGAATACCGATTTACAATTATCGCGCACGCGACAAATTAAAACAGAAATAATTCCTCGTTTTCCAGCGAAATTATGAGCCGGTTCTCGCGAACAATTCCCAGATTGTCCATCACTGGGCTTTATCGTTCTTCTACTCCTTCGAGCGCGCAGCAACCCCGTTTATTGTTAAACAATAGTAAAGATAACTCGTTATTTTTCTTCTCGTTCGTTTCCATTTTTCCCGACGCTTTTGTCCCCGAACTTTTTTACTTTCCAGCCATCTTTCTTTACTATTACTTCTATTATTCTCCCCCCTCTCTTCTCCTCTATTATCATGTTTTTCTTCTCGCAGACAATTTCTGTTTCGTTTATCTTATTCCCTCGTCTTTGTACGATAAACGTGACGTGGTTTAAATTTCGAACAAAAGTTCTTCGATATTCCCCATCTCGAAAGATCCTAATTACCGGCGACACCGGGAACCGGCCTATTGGCCGCAATCTCGATCAAAAGTTTAATCCCTGCGCCGTTGCACACGCGACTGGAAACAATTACGCCGCGTACGACGCGCACAGGCTTCGTCGACGTCGATCGCAACGGAATACTTTGACAGTTCGGGTTTCGATTCGCCTAATTCGGCGAGGACAATGAAAATGATGCATCGCTTATCCGTGCACGCCGGCGCATAAATTAGGTCGCGCCGGATCGTATGAACCCGACTTAACGGAGTGCATAAATAAAGTGTACGTGTACGATGGCCGTTCCACGTTCGTGTGCGTGCCGATCCACCAATAGCAGCCAGCCACATATTAATGCACGAAACAGGGATCCCTTGCGAGCATCGAGTAGCATAATAATCGATGATACCACTGACGAGAGTAAACGTATCGTAACTGCTAACGAACAGCCCCGATTTCCAATCCCCGATTGATAAGACGCGACGCGTGTGCGGAAATCGAACCATACAATGAACAATAGTAAATGAAACACACTGATTAAATGAACCAAATGAAAGAAACGAGTCGAATGAACGCTACATTAATAAGAAAATGGCCGCTAGCGTGTTGTTATAGCACGTTTCCGATTTCGTAACGTTCTCTCGGTGGCTACTATTTCCCACTTAGAATCGACACTTGTACCGGCAGTTTTGAGGCACCGAATGTGTACATAAACTTGTGGAAGTGTTCGTAAAAAATTTAGCAGGCACACTGGGCTTTCTACGAGGCCACAATGTTGGCGATGTCCGATGTTGAAGTGACGGGAAGTCGACAGGCGCGCGTTATGAACCTGCGCGGCGACGGTAGTTTTAAAATACCGTGCCCTATAAACACCGTGGGTCGCAACAATTTCAATTCCGAGCTACCGGTCCGTGCACAGAGGTGCAACGTTACTCGCCTGCGTATCGTGACGCGTAACGAGACACCGGAGGAATGTCGGTGTAATAACTGGGAGAAAGATCTATGCGGAGATATCTACGCTCGTGGATCGTTTCTGGTCGCACGCGAGCAGCGAAGTCGACCGGAACATCGTTAGATAGTCAGAAATCTACGAACGTGGAAGATTTATGGCGGAGCCTTGCAAGAAGATGGCTCTCGCGCCAAAGAATGGCCCGTTATTTTGCGTATTTCGAAACGAAACGAGTTATTCTTTGCACGTGATTCGAGTTTGAGGGGAAAAAGACGAATTTAGGTCGCTGATTACTTAAATAATTAAAAATTTACGTTCTCTAGCCGGGTCTCCGGCTATCGATCCTCCGAGCGCGTTCCGACCGAATAAATCAAAGTATAATTTCACGATACGTTACGTTCCGCGCGGAATTTAAAAATGAAACCATCGCTAATAGCTTTCACCATTTAAATTCGATGTTTAATGCATTTACCGCGTGGGTCGATGTTGTCGCGGCGAGCACGAAACAAATATTTATCCGGCAACAAACGTATGTGGGCAATCTGTTCCGGCGCGGTCCGGGGATCGTTCTCGTCCCGGGGTAACAGCGAAAAGGAAAAAAGTGCCGGCGTTGTTCGAGGATTACGTTCGGCAAAGGTCGACGAGAACGAGCAAAGGTGGAAAGTTCGCCGAAAATAGCTCGATAGCGGTAACGTTCGCGTATGAACATGTTACTGTACACCTGTGCTTACGCGAGATGAGATCCGCGAACGGAATATAAAACAAGTGCATCCTAAATGCGCATACGTGGAGACGTAGATTGCCAAGCAGTCCGGATTCGCTTTGAATCCGAAAGCGAACCATTCGTAATACGCGAATTTCGAAATCGAATTACGGAACGGCACCACGAAATCGTCGAAAATTTTGTTTTATTATCGATGATCTATCCCGGGGTGCTAAAACGCGGCAGAAAATTCGTTTATCTGTTCTCGATAACTTTAATAGCTTTATTAACGGGTCCACTTAATCCTTAAAACTTGTACGCGTTTTATCGCGTCCCGTTATATTACGTTTTAAACAAATGGATTCGAAGAATTTTTCGAACCGTATCTCCGAAACTCGCGAAATATCTCGTAAAAGAAGTGAATTTTTTCTGTTTCATTAGTGAAACTGTCAACGAAAAAAGTGATATCTGCAGAACTCTGCACGATAAATACGGGAGTTTCAAAGTCTGACGAAATAGAGAAAAATTGCATTTGACGAGGCAACGTGCAGGAATGAGGCGTACAGACGTGATTTTTGCACATTTTTAGACAAACTTTGAAACTTTCCCGATCCTATTTATCGCGCGGAGATCTGCAAGGTTTCGTTTCTGTCCAGAATATATCCTCTGCAAAAATTAAATATATTTAATTCGTATTCGAGTACCTTCGTTGTCACGATCAAACGGTCACTTTTGATTATTATTTCTTGGGGACTAGTGGCTTCATTTTTTATTCAGATATGAATTCTACTCGTCCGTAGTTTCAGATAGGATCTGCTAACAGAAGTAGATCAACATTACATATGATTTTCTTCGAAAGCAGCAATCTAATACGAAATGCATAAGAATCTGATGAAAGACTCGCGACAGTTTAATAAGAGAGTATATCAATCATTGCTGAACGAGGATCTGTAATCAGGACAGTGATTAATGATTACGATTACCGAGTAATCAATACTTTTGATTAACGAGCAACACAAATAATCAAAGCGACTGCAATTATCAGCCATGACTAATTCAATGATCGTTAATCACGGAATGATAAAATCAATTAGTCGATCGTACGAGGAAGCTAAAATAGACGTTGGTAAATTGTAAAACTCTTGATCGTCCAACGTTGAACACCGAGTGTAGAAATCATGGCCAAGAAATTTCGTCATAATTTTTTTGCGATTCCAAGCAGGAACTCTCCGAAATTGGCGCCAGCTTCTGGCGATCGTATTATTTTTGGACACCTGCGACGCAACCGCTGTTCCACTGACCTTAAAAAGGTATCGTGGAGTCGCGGTGTGGGCGGAAAAAGCAACCTAAACGCGACCCACGCGTCGCACGGATTCGTCGTAACCGGGCCTAAAACTTGTCTCTATACGGGAACAAAAGCTGTCACGCGATCGAGATTTCAATTCGCGATAGCTGGGACCTGCTCCGGTTCTTGTCTTTTATAGGCGCCTTTATCCTTTCAGCTGACAACGCTGGTAAACTCTCTGGTGATTTATGCCCGAGTTCCCAAACCGTTTCGCAATATACGAGCGTGGCTGAATTTAGCACGCACGAATAATTGAAGAAATAAAAAATTTTTTTCTCCAATTCTTATCGAAAAGCTAGACCTTTGATTTCAAGATTCGAATCTTTAAGAGAACGGAAGCAATCGATTTTATGATTTGAAATTCGCCGGACCGTCCTCGTCGTCTTAGTTTCGTCGCAAAAGTCGACGCGTTTCCTTTCGTATTTTTCGATTTCTCATCCGGCGGATCCGTTTTAAAGCGGAGCGACGGTTTCATTACGCGCGCGGAAATATTCGCGGAAATTATAATGGCCGGGTAAAAGCCAGCCTGTTAAACGCCGATGAAAACCGATTTCCGAACGCGCGAACGCTTCCGTCGAACACTCCAATTGATTAGTCCTTTCTAATTTTCTTGCCGCGTGACTGCACCGCGGCCACGCTGGAAAAGCAATTTTCTCGGAGGGAAGGTATCTCTACGAGAAATTAATTATGTTTCTGTAGCTGCGTTTGTACGCGAGCAGACCGAGGCGAAGCACGCCCGGAGCAGGAATCGGAATTCGGTTCAAAAGCTTCGTCGAAAGTCCGCCAAAGGAAACGAAAGCTGTCGCGATTAGAGCCGTAACCGTCGAAAACTCCTTCGATCCTCGCCCGACGAACTATGGGCCCATTCAGACCCATTAAAACTAGTCTCACAGTCCTGAAGCGTTTAATAAACAACGATAATAAATATTGGAAATGTAAAATAGTAAAACTTTGGAGAATACTTTCTTATGATTGAATAATATTATAGTATATTGTGTAATACATTTTAGCAGATTTTTAGGTCTCACTGAGAGTCTGAAATTTCGAACGGCGTTAAACGCGTTTAGTGCTGAATTTTATTACGCTCTTGAAACATGAAGGTTCCTCTTGCAATAAAGTAGAACTCCTACGTGAACCATCCGTAATGGAGGGAGATGTAAAATTTAGACTGCATAGATTTTCAGCTACAGTAGTCTACGTATTCTAGAATATTTGGTAATGCCGAGACTAAAGATCCTGAGTCAGTACTTTGCGTAGAATAGTGGAATATGTAAAATTCGCTGCATCGGAAATTCGAATCCCCCAATGTCCTCACCGAATACGTACGAACATTCCACGAAAATTGTTTGCAGCGAAATTATTTAAGAAAGCAACAATTGCAAATAAATAATTGTAAACGAAAGAAAAATAAAATAAAATAAAGTAAGATTTAGTAATAATACGAGTCGCGGATACCGCGTAATCGTCGATCGTGGCAACTTCTAATTGCAAAGTATTTTTAATTCGATATTCGCACGAATCTCCGATGCCCGTGAAACATTTCTATCGTAGCCAGCTTTCCAAGAGCTCTATTTAACTCGACGGTTATTAGCCTCATTTGCGATTCGCTCGAAACGTTAACGAGCCGATCCGTGCATCGAGTTTCTTTTCGACGCAGGAGGACACTCCAGTTAACGAAGAAACGTTCCAGCGGTTTTCTTTGCCAGATACGAATTAGTTCCGCTCGCGAATCATCATCCAGCTGATCGATAAGACTCCTCGCCACTACGTTCCTAATTACTCGAAACGCGTGTTCGCCGTGAGTATGGAATATCTTCGCGTTGCACAGAGTGGAAGGTAATTTAAGATCTAATCCGAAGCGCGGCTAATTGGTCAATATTTGATGTTTCCCCTGGAAACTGGAACGACAACGGGTAATTCGAACGAGGCATTAAGTACCACGCGGTCGTCGTCTTGCGAAAATTAGCTTCCAACTCGAAAAACATTAGACAGCTTTTCTTTCGTTCGGTGGTCCAAACAAAAGCGTCCCTTCTTTTCGACTTTGTTTCTGTTTTTTTTTTATAATTACAAATAATAATTTTTCAACGCGCGAACGACGTGTATCCAAAGAGCTAATAAAGCACGCGGAAATAACGTTCTCGATTGAGTCTGTGCTCGATTTTGCGCCGGACGTGTACGCGTGATTCCGTGATTAACGCGTGAATCCGCACGGGGATCATTTGTAGAGTACCGGTGTATAGAGATAAAGTTGCAAAGCTCGCGGAGAATAAATACTGCCGTTGCAAAATGGCGGCTGGGATAATTTACATAGTTGCGTTCCGCGCGGAACGACGCGCCAAAACTGCAACGGTTCGAATCCCTTTAAAATTTGAAACACTCGCGGCGTGGAAAAAAATTCGTTTTATTTTCGGCGATAAAGGATTCATTAGGCAGAAACGAAGGAATTCGTTCTGACACAGTGTACGATCTACGATCGTCAACCGCGGAACGAACTTCTCGTGGCCGTAAAGAGGAGCAGAAACGAGAATAAAAGTGTGCAATTAATGGACAGCGGGCCAAGCTATTCGGAATTCTTATTATCTCGGCCCGGTACTCGTCCCCGGTGTTATTAACAGCACCGCAATTCCAGTCGAGGCGCGGGCAACTTTCCAACGGCGCGCCTCTTAAAAACGACACTTAAATCCTGCTACGCGCCACCGATAAAGCTCCCGAACAAGCCACCGATCCACTTAATTGTGTACGTATCCGCGATATTTTAAACGAACACGTACCTAGCGCCGATACCGCGCGAGCCTTTCCAAGCGTAAACTATGTCTTTACCGGGGAATCCTCGAACGCCGGTGTTGCGATCGAATTTATGTCTAAGGGTCGCTCGACCCCTCGATTTGTGCTCCGTTTTAGATATCTTCCTATCGAAGTAACCGTTCTCGCGTCGAGAGATCGTTGCTCGATAATCGTTTGGCGAACCGATCAAGAAAAACGTAGCGTGATTACACAATTGAAAGCGTATTAGTATTATTTAATTCTTCGATCAAGCCAGCTGGAATACTCACGAAATAGCTATGTGATAAAACATTTATTTTTACCTCGTCACTCTTTGCGTCGCACCCCCCAGAACAGATCCTTCCTCCTTCAGGCCTGGATAGATCTGAAACAAGGAATTCAATACTATTTTTTAATTTGACTAAAACTCAATGTTTTTAAAGTCTACTCTTCATAGTTACAGTAATATAAAAACATTAAAATATTGATCAATTCTGAAAACCCCAGTGTGCTAAATTAACCCTTTTAAAAAGAACAAGTACATATTTGACATACAACTGAATTCTGATCGCGTCATAAATATATATATGCATTTTCCTGTTTGCTTGTTAAGGATAAAGAGGAACCGTAAATGTTATTTTAATGGAGAATATTCGAATCACAGGAGCGAATATATCGACGAGTATTTCGCTGGAGTTTACAAATTTATCTTGGCCTCGTATGTGATTAAATTCGAACTCGCAATAAATCAAATATTTTTATTTCAAATCAAACGTACTTTTAATTGGAAAAAGAGGAATCGAACATTTGAGGGAGAAATACGTCCTCGTAGATTCCGATGCGCGTTTCATCGATTATCCGGTGCCACAAATTAACGTAATTGGTGTTCAGAAATTTACGCGTATTGTTCGGCGGCTGAATTTAAACGCGCGATAACATTTTACCAAATGAAACCGGACTTTCGGCCGAAGAAACAAATCAAACCTATAGAAACGTAGAAAAGGCAGACAAGCAGCTGCAAATGATACAATCATCGGGAATATACGCGAAATTTCATACCGGTCAAATAGAAACCCGCCTCGATCATTTGTATCCATATTTAAATCAAATGTATTCCCCATTCGAGCCAATTACATTAACCCGATCGCCGAAAGAATTGGCTGCCGGTCGGTGTGTGTCGCGAATTTTCATGTAAATGGAAAATTAAAAATCCTTCGGCGCTGATTCGTTATCCACCCTGCTAATTATTTTTCCCGAGCCGATGCATCGACTACTATATTTTGATTTCAGTTTTTGCTCCTGATAGTGCATACAGGAATAAGTGGTCGAGTACTTGTGAGAAAAACAGGTTGCGCGTAGCCCTCTGTTAGCGAGCGCGGTAGATACACTTAGATTACCGCGAACTTTAAACAACAATTCAAGTTCCAACCGTTTCCACTCGTTTATCCTAGATTTTTTAAGCGGAAAAATAGTCAAACTCTATACTATATAACTATAACTATAAATCTTTGTTCCCAACAAATTATAATGGTGATTTTCGGTTCGAGGAATTACTTATCCCTCTTGTTTCTTATCGTTATTCGAAGCTAGAGTGCCCGAGCCCTTTCCGTGCGTGTTTACCTGACTTTCTGACGCGTGTCCCGGCAGCGAACCGATAAGCGAAGCCGAATTAGCTTAATCGACTCGCCAGGATGGATCGTCCGATCCTTCTTCCACGTCGTATCTTTGTAGGAAATTGGCTCCGGATTCCCGTGGGCTGGGAAGCACGCCCGGCCATCCTAGTTGTTAATGACTTGTCTACGTGCGGTTCTTCGGCCCCCGGTGCCGATCGAGCGACCGGTGCCCGCTGTAATCTCGCCTCCAGCGAATGGGAAAACGCCGAAGAAGCTGATGCCAGCGGGGAATATTTCAGGCGCAACGACGCGGATGAAAATTACGCGGGCTTCCGGTGTCTTTTGAACTGCGACCGTCCGGCCGGGAGATTTAAACGACCGACGAGAACCGATCCGGGGAACCGTCCTCGGTGCACTTTTCGAAAAGTGGAGATTACCCCTCCCTACACTTTGCACGAACGGGAATTTTTAAACAAAATTCAATATTCGAGCGCAACGGGGAACCATTCCCTTCGGTGTTTATCTTACTGGCCCGTTAGATTGATATTTTCGTTGGTCATTTTCGATGGAACGGATTTAAATAGAACACGACTCATAGCTAATCGCTTGTGTCCTTCGTCACCACATGTAGGAAAGTTCCACGTGCTCTTACCAGGTGGTCTAGCCAATTGTAAACACATAAAACACACGTGTCTGAGTAATATCGTAAATAGTGGAGCACACGGTCGTAAACTCTACTTTGCGAAAGGCGTACGCTCGTTCCCCTTATGGTAATAATTAAGATATCTCTGTGCAATCAAAGATATCTCCGGTACATAGAAATCTATTTAATTAAAAGATGACTTCATTCGAAAATCGTTCGATCGTTGCTATCGTTCTGCATGCTCGCATTAAAATCGAAGTTGTACAGTTGGTGTCGTCCCCTCGTAAGATAATATTTTATTTTAATGATCGTTCGTGAAACGCTGTATTTCAATGGCAACGTGGGATTCAACGTTCGTTAAAACAGCGAGCAGAGTCGGTTCGCGGAAGAATGCTAGGTATCCCGTTCGAAGACCGATCGTAAAGTCCATCGCGCGCCATAAAGACAAGAAGCGGTTGGATGGTTTACCGTCGTTGTTGCGCGCAAAAAGACGGTTATTGCATCGCGGTTCAGGAACTTTGAAATATTCAATGGCTCAGTTGGCGTGAATCTAATTCCGAGCATTGTACCCCAGAAAAATTGATTCCTTCGCGCTGCGTCCTCCTAACAAACACGAAAGATTAAAATTCACCGTCGTGCGCGACCACTGGCCCCGAAATTAAATTGGACTTACAGGTGGCATCCGTGGACGGACAAGGATCATTTAAATTTTAAAGTAGCGAGTCCGACGCGAAATTCGGAGCCAGCGATTCTCATTTCCGCGTTATTTCTGAAAAATTCATAGACGACGGGGGAAAAAATTTTACGTTCGTGGATTTGCCGACGTTGTAAATTTCGCGTGGGTGTGTATGTGTTTTTTTTAGAAATCTCCTGTCGAGAAACTCGGTAGCGAAAAGAATTAAACAGTTCGGGGAAAGATCGTGTCGGAAGTTATTAAACCGTGTAAAATCGTTCCGTACGATTGTTTTATATCTTCAATTAGAACGGGGCTATAACCAGTTAGCGGAATCGCCGATAAAATTCTATCTTCCGTGACATTTTGACTCCGGTGATTTGATATTTTATTGGGAATTGCTTTCGAGTATTATCGCCGAGAGTCGGTTCCATAAAGTATTAACCGATGATAAAGTGTCTCCTTAAAACCATTACGCGAGATAGCGTCTTCGCGGGAGCGTTAATATTTTAGCGAAATTAAAGCTTCTTCCGTTATTATAGAGATTTACGGATCCGAAAAAGTTTCGAAACAGCGTTTTCTGACGCCCGGTAACGCGATTAAAACACTATGTTATGCTAATCGACGCGGCAAATGGCGCGTTCGTGTCTTCGATAACTATTAATCAATGGAAGGTACTTTTGACGCTTGTGAATCATCGATTTGCAATCTCAGGCGTACCTAAAGCTAGCCTCGTACTATTTATTTTATTTACTCTGTTACGTCCAGGGATGGTCTTGATCGTTACTTAAATTTTAACGTTTCATAGTGTTTCTGATATCGCTACGATTAGTCGTCCCAGGTCATCGGTAGCCGTCATGACATTTAACGCGTTAGAAAAACTGTTTCGATGAAATCTTGATCGTGACGAGTGTTCGAAAGTTGAAGAAATATAAAATGAATATTAAAATATTATTTGAAATAGTTATGTTCGTATAAAATGGAGCTTGGTCAGGTGTGGTGCACAGGAAACGCAGTTGCGTTTGATTCCCGGAGCTGTTGCCGAAGGATTGCGCAATCACCGGCACACGTAGCCATCCTGCGCGAGTTGCATAATTCCCTTTTGTATCTTCGCTGGCACGAAAACACAGTTGCACGCGAACGCGCCGAGCTGGAGTCGATCTCAACGGGATTCCATCGACCTTTAAACCATTTTCACCTCCGAGAATCGTCCGTGACAGGTTTTTCTCATCGGCGAGATACATTTCCCGAGACCTTGAAGATTATAGAACGAAGGATGTCTCGATTTTCTCGATGTCTCGAACCCCTGTCAAAGGGTCGATGGCTTTTAAGCAATTTTGCTAATTGCAAATATTTATCGGAACAACATCGACGAGCCACAATCGAGAAACTTCAATATTCCTATTTCTGATTATGGTTCGTAGGGGTGGAAGTCGCGAAATTCTTGAAATTCCTAGTTTTCGTCGGTCCCTTCTCCTTTGAACTCTAGAACTAGTTCAAATTGCAGTAGAAGTCCATTTATTGGAACGAAATTGTACTCAGTGGCCGATTAACCGAGCTTCGGTATAATTGAATCCATTTATCTGGACGTGAACTCCGGTTATTTGAACGAAAAATCAATAGACTGTGGGGAGGATTAATGAACTCCTATTATATGAACTGTTTGCCTTCCGACGGACTCGGAAAAATAGAATTCTACTGTGTTATATGAAAACTGGTATTTTCAATTAAATTAATGCTACTCGGAAGTTTAGAAATATTTCGTTTCATGGGAAAACTACCCTAGAGGTTTCCAGATTCTCGTCCCTTATTTTCGATTCACGGGAGTACAATTTCCCTAGATTATCTGATGAATGAAATTAAAAATTATTGGAATATTTAATAAAAATGACAGCAGACGACTCGAAATATTATAGAATGAGACCTTTGAAAGGAGCAGCATTTTTGTAGCTCAAAGAGTCCCCGTCGACGCATTCTATTTACTTGGTGCAATGCTAGGAATCTGCACTTTCGTTGGAAACTTCACAATATATAGGACAATATAGATATTCCCGATATTTCCGGAGGAGTTTACGATACAAAATCCAAAGAATGTTAACTTTGCACAACCTCTGTAAAATCAATGTTATTCGAGCACCGAACGTTCACATTTAACTCATTTTGTTCTGTCGATCGTTCGTATTCGATTACCGTGTTCCATACGCAAATTTAAACAGAATCAGACATTCAATTTGAAATGGCACCCTAGAAACACTTGTAATTTTCAATTTGACCATCCCAAAAAATACATTAGGACGACAGATTTAAAAAATCCAGAAGCGTCACGAGTTGCAACAAATCGTCTGTAACGCAATCCAGCGTGGAGAAATTTCCTCGAGCCAATCCTGTCGACGAAAGGGCTGTAGAGTCGTGGGGGTTGGGAAAGGCCAGAGAAGCGTCCTGGTAATGCAAGAATT